ATCCATGTATCTATCACCACAATCAAGATGTACAACATTTCTTCCAGTCTGTGGTTCACCTTTTCATTCAACTGTTGATGTCTAAGAGTAGATTTTTATTTATTTCATAAATTTTTTCCCTGTATGGCTCATGCTTATGTCCTATCAAAGAAATCTTTGCTTACCCTAAGGTCACAAAAATTTTCTCCTGCATTTCCTTCCAGAATTTGTGTGTGTGTGCCTTGAGGGATCTGGAAAAAAGGGGATTACTCTGATACTTCAAAAGTATGTTATGTTAGATGCAAAAAGACAATAGACAAGCTCAGTTAACGTAAAGATTGACCTTTTTCAAGGAAGATACTGGCCTAGGTTATGACTACCCACGATGACTCACTTTTAGTTATAAAGTTTTCATTTCAGACCATCCTGTGTGGTTACTTTCGGTCTCTGAGTTTGTAAGGTCTTCACCATGCAGGCCTTCCGTGAGCTTGTCAGGTTTAGTATGTGGCCCTTTTATTTTTTGTCCAGTTTCCCCTTTTGGTCATAAATCAATCCAAAGTGTTACCCATGAGACGATGAAACCTCACTTCTTGTCTTCTTGAAGGAAAGATTTCAATCAAGAGATAAAGTGTACAAAAGCAAGCAAGAATTTATTGACTGCACCAAAAACACACTTAGCACAGTGAATCGAGGAAGGGCCTAGAACAGGAGAGCCCAGGCAGGGCTGCTCTAGCTCACTGGGAAGTCAGAGAAAAGGAGGCCTTGGAGACAGGTTCAGGGGGTTAGCCCGGGAGGAGCTGCCACTGCCTACTGCTCCCCTGGTGCAAGCCTCTTGGGGTCCCTTGGGGTTTAGGAGATACGTGCCTGTGGGGCAAGAACAGGGGGAAGAGAATGGCACTGGTGTGTTCCCAGGAGGGAGAGTGCCCTCTTCTACAAGTTTTATAGTTTTGTTGTTATGGTTTAATAGTTCTAGTTTTACATTTAGGTTTATAATCAAATTTTAATTATTTTTGTATAGGGTATGAAGAATCAAGGCTCATTTTTTTCCAAATGGATGTCCAGTTATCCCAGCTTTATTTGTTAAAAAGCCAAAGTGAATTCTCTTCACTTTGTCACAAATCAATTGACTGTATACGTGCGGATCTGTTTCTGGGCTCTCTTCTGTGCCGTAGATCTCTGTTTTCACTTGTTTCTATTATGCTAACGTTACACTACCTCTGGTCTTGTTCCTCTTTTTCCAAACTGCGGTGGCTATTCTAGGTCCTCTGAATTTCTCTATATACTCTAGCATCAGCTTGTCAATTTCTACCCATAAAGTCTGATGAGATTTTGATCAAGATTCTTTTTTGAACCCATAAAATTCAGTCTCATTCTTTTTTTTTTTTTTTAATCCTCACCTCAGGATATTTTTTCCATTGCTTTTCGGAGAGAGTGGAAGGGAGAGAGAAACACTGATGTGAGAGACACCTCGATTAGTTGCCTTCCACACGCACCTGATAGGGCAGGGATTGGGCCTGCAAGTGAGGTACGTGCCCTTGGCCAGAATCGAACCTGGGACCCTTCAGTCCGCGGGCTGACGCTCTAACCACTAAGCCAAACTGGCCAGGGCAAATCTCATTCTTAAAATAAGAGAGACTGCTTAGAAACAGTACATATTTTTAGTGATTGATTTTTTAGAGAGAGGAGGGAGAGAGAAAAAAATCGTTGATTTGTTCCACTTATTTATGCATCACTGGTTGATTCTTGCATGTGCCCTGACTGGGGATCGAACTCACAACCTTGGTGTATCAGGATGATGCTCTAACCAACTGAGCTACCTGGCCAGGGCCAGAAACAGTACATATTTTAAGAAAGAGGAAAACAAACAAAGAAGGAAACTACATATTTAAATCAAGTTTCTAGAATATGTAGTTAATTAACTGTAGCCATGGAGCAACCAAACTTGATGTAATCTGAATAATTATTAAAATTAAATTCTTAATTAAAACAGATGTGGGTGAGGATGTGGAGAAACTGGAACTCTTGTGCATTGCTGGTAGAATGTAAAATGGCACAGCCACTGTGGAAAGCAGTTTGGTGATTCCTCAAAAAGTTAGACATTGCACTACCAAGCTATTCCACTCCTAGGTATATATCCAAAAGAACTGAAAGCAGGGACTCCAACGGATGCGTACACAAATGTGCACAGTGGCATTGTTCCCGACACCCAAAAGGTGGAAACAAATCAAAGGCCCATCAACAGGTGAGTGAACAAACAAAATGTGCTCTATCCATATAATGGAATTTTATTCAATCATAAAAATGAATGAATTTTTGAAAGTTGGTACACTTTAGATGAACCTTGAAGACACTGCGAAAATAAAGAGAAACCTCATTAAAAAGGAGCCAGAAGGCCAGTAGGGGGAGCTCTCAAACAGTACCACTGATGCCAACTATAACACTTGTCAATTACAGACCCCAAGAGAACCGTCTCCAGGAAAGAATGATCAATTACAGGCACCACCAAGAAAAGATTTACATTGCCTTTCCTACAAGAAATTGACCACCCCAGCAACTCAGCTAATGAGAAACCTTCATCTCCCTGAGCTCTTGCCTTTCTCCAAAGGACTTCTGTTTAAAACAACTCCTCCCAACTTCCTTTTTTCCCCACAAAATAATGTTCTTCTCTTTTGTCAGTTTGCCTATGGCTTTTGCTATATAGCTTGCTTGCCCTGAATTACAATTCTTTGCACTTCCCGAGTAAACCCTTTTTTGCTGGTCTAATAACTGGCTGTTTAAGGTCAACATTATGCTAAGTGACATAAGCCAGACACAACAGGACAAATATTGTTTGATTCCACTTATATGAGGTACCTAGAATAGGCAAATTCAGAAGGACAGAAAGCAGAGTAGAGATTACAGGAATTAGGGAGGGGGGTGGGAAATAAGTGTTTAATGTGTAGAGTTTATGTTCAGAACGATGAAAAAATTCTGGAGCTGGGTTGTGGTTATAGTTACATAATGTTGTGAATGTCCTTAATGTCGCCGAGCTGTACATTCATAAATGGTTAAAAGGATAAATATTATGTTATGTATGTTTTAACAAAACAGAAGTTAAAGCATTATTAATACATCTACCTGCATTTAAAAATAGAACATATGAGAGTGGGTGAGGACTGCAATCTTCATTTTGATGTTTTTAAAATGTACCCCATTACCTTTGTCTATAGTTGGGCTCACAAGGGCAACAACGTGTCTCCTGAAATCAACAGGAGGTCCATCTCTCACTTAGTAATTCAACAAATATTTGTTGAACATCTAATATTGGTCAAGCACTGTTCTAGATGCTGGATGGTGGTGTGGAGAGGATACTTACACTCAGGAAACATATTCTACTTGGAAGATACAGGTAATAAACAAGCATGTGAATACTGAGCAGAGATAAGTGCAGTGAAGAAGAGGAGTTATTTCATAATCTTTTATTGAAGAATTTTGAATCTATGTTCACCTGGATATTGGCCTGTGAAGTCTTTCCTTGTGATAGCTGATTTTGGTATCAGGGTAATGCTGCCTTATAAAGTGAGTTGGGAAGTGTCCCCTCTTCTGTTTTCTAAAAGAAATTTGTGTAGTATCAGTATTATTTCTTCCCTAACTTTGATAGAATTCACCAGTGAACCATCTGGACCTGGAAGTTCCTTTGTGGGTAGGTTTTAACTTATGAATTCAATTTCTTTAATAGACATAGGACTATTCTATTTCTTCTTGAATTATTTTTGCAACAGCAGGCACAAGTGAGACATTGAAAACACTTAACCACACTGCTGTGGTAAAGAAGACCTATTGATATTTGGGTGCTCACCATGTGCTGAGCATCGTGCCCAACCTGCACACGCATCACCTGTAGGTGTTCCTGTTTTTGTCCCCGTGATACAGCAACCAGAATCTCTCTTTTGCTTTGGCACAGAAGCTCTTCTGAAGGTGGTAGGATGGAGCTGAGGTCCCCTATGCTGATGACGTAGAATGGAAGGCAGGTGACACCTTGAGGTAGATTGCTCAACCTGACAGAGGCCTATTTCCCTGAGCGAACACTTAACACCCTTCAAGCCAAAGCCCTGCACTTTCTCTAAAAATCAACAGAAAAAATATCCTTGGATGAGGATTAACAATAAATAAGTAAATAAAGATATATTTAAAAATATACATACACACACACACACACACACCATTCTGAGCTCACTGGCTGTAGGAAAACCAGCCAAAGGTTGGATATGGCCAGCTGGCCATAGATTATCCACAGGACTCTATAGGACACTCAAACCAAAATGTTCACTGGGGACATTTCCCCCCAAGATGATCTGAAGTTCGATTTTTCTCCCCCTCCCCCAAGTATTTGCAGGGCTCTTCCCTTCCCCCTCTAAACCTTTGCTCAAGTAATACTTCCAGCCAGGTGTGCCGTGAGTGCCCTACTGAAAATTGCAACCTACCTGCCCATCATCCCTACCTTGTGCATTTTTAGGTTTCCCCAAACACATATCTGTCTTTAATATACTAAATAATTTCGTTTTTAGTGTATTTACTCTTCGTTACATAAACCCTTCTTTTCCTCCCAACTCTCAGATGTAAGCTCTATGAGGGCACAGTTCTTCACTCACTGATGCGTTCCAGGCTCCTAGAATAGTCCCTCGCACATGATAGGAGACTATTAAGCATTTGTTGAATGTCTGAGTGAATAATGTTGCACTACTTTTATAACTATAAACCTAATATACAAAAAACCCTAGAAATATTCCGTGAGTCCCCATAAGGAATGAAGTGCACAAACTTGACCAGGCATTGCACTCCCTTCAGTCCCACCCAGTTCTCCAGCCTCCCAACCCTCCAGACCACCCCGCCCTCGCCCTCGCCCCACCCCGCCGAGCACGCGCAGTTCATTCCCTTAGACGCCTCTCACCGCCACTAGGAGACGCCGGAACCCGCCACCGCCTTAGCACAACTCAGGTACCAAGTGACCCGCGCTGCACCCACGTGACTGGCGTCGCACCCGGTGAGCGTCACGTGACGGACTCAGCTTTCCTCCAATCGTTGTGCACGTTGTGGGGATTTCACCCAGGACCTGGCCCGAGACTTAAAACACCTCATTCTCCTGCCAGCCAAACGGGCCGGCCTCCCCCTTCCAGCTGGGCGCTGGTGTCTTTCAAAGGTCCTTGTCCAGAGCGGCTTCGGGAAGCCCGGGCCTACAACGCGCTTAGTCCCGGAAGTGACGTCTCCCAGAGGGGCCGGAAGTGGCAGTGGAGGGAGGGAAGATGGCGGAGGTGGTGAGTCCGGTGCCCGGGGCGGGGCGGAGGGAGCCAGGGGAGGTGGGTAGAGCCCGAGGACCCCCAGTAGCCGACCCTGGCGCCGCGCTGTCTCCCCAGGGGGAGATAATCGAAGGCTGCCGCCTGCCGGTGCTGCGGCGGAACCAGGACAACGAAGATGAGTGGCGTGAGTGACGTCGGGGGGCGGGGCTAAGGAATAGAAGGGCGAGGGGCGGGAGGGA